GGTGCTCCTGGAGCTGGAGCTGCTGGTGCTGCTGGTGCTGCTGGCGTTGGTGCTGCTGGAGCTCCTGGAGCTGGAGCTGCTGCGTCTTCGGGTGGTCCGGCTGGAGCTGGAGCTACTGGGGGTGCTGGCGCTGGGTCCTGGCGCTGGTGCTGCTGAGGGTGCTGGAGTTGGAGCTGCTGGAGCTGCGGGTCCTCCTGGTGCTGGTGCTCCCGCTGGGGGCGCTGGTGCTGTTCCTGCTGGCACTGGTGGAGCTGCGCGGCCGCGGCCGTACTTCGTTCCGCTCCTTGAGCAGGTTCTTGGTCTTCCGTCCTCTCTTGGTCCTGCTCCTGCCTTAGAGTGTCCGCCTCCTGTCCAGTCTGAGTCACAGTTACAGCCACCTTCCCCGCTTCCTTCTCCTTCTCCCTACACTGGTCCTACTGGAGGTCTTGCTGAGCGTCGTGAGCCTGCGTCTCGCCCTGCGTCGCCTGTCCGCGCTGCTCGCACTAGTGGTCGTGGTTCGCGCCAGCGTCCTCCCCCTGTCCCCGGCACGCACCGGATGTCTCTGCGTCCTTCCACTGCTCCGCTGCGTGCCCCTTTGCCTTCTCCTCCAGCGTCCTCTCTTCCTGACCTTCCTGACCCGGAGTCGGACTCCCTTCGTGCTGCGCGTCCTACTGTCACGCGTCTCCTTGCTACTGTCGTCACTGACCCTTCCTTTGAGTCTGCTGCTGCGTCTGCCCTAGTTGCTGAGCTTGTCGACTTCGCTGCTCGCTGTCGCCTAGACTACGCTACCAGTCTTGTCGCTGAGTCTGAGTCTGTCTGTCCTCCGTCCGTCGGGGGTGAGTGTGCTCTTGGCACGGACGTCCTTGAGGACAGGCAGGAGGAGTTCCAGTGCTTGGCTGCTGCTTCACCTCATCTCGTGTCCATGCTGCTTGCCCCTGAGGGAGACCCGGATGCACTTGACATCCCGACTCCGTGCTCTTACGCGGAGGCGATAGAGGGTCCCTACTCCTCTCAGTGGCAGGCAGCCATGGACGCAGAGATGGCTTCCTGGAAGTCCACAGGCACCTACGTTGACGAGGTTCCCCCGCCTGGGGCGAACATCGTCAGTGGCATGTGGATTTTCAGGGTGAAGCGGCCGCCGGGTTCTCCGCCTGTCTTCAAGGCGCGTTACGTGGCTCGTGGCTTCAGTCAGCGGCAGGGAGTTGACTACTTTCAGACCTTCTCCCCCACCCCGAAGATGACCACTCTTCGGGTACTGCTGCACATAGCTGCTCACCGAGACTACGAGCTGCACTCTCTTGACTTCAGCACTGCTTTCTTGCAGGGCAGCCTGCACGAGGAGATCTGGCTGCGCCGCCCACCTGGCTTCACTGGGACGTTTCCTCCTGGCACCCAGTGGAGCCTCCGGCGGCCAGTCTACGGTCTCCGCCAGGCGCCTCGTGAGTGGCACGACACACTGAGGACTACACTTGCGGCCCTTGGGTTTGCTCCTTCTACTGCCGACCCGTCGCTGTTTCTGCGCACCGACACTTCTTTGCCGCCGTTCTACATCCTCGTGTATGTCGACGACTTGGTCTTTGCTACAGCTGACACTGCTGGACTTGCCTACGTGAAGTCCGAGCTGCAGAAGAGACACACGTGCACAGACCTGGGTGAACTGCGCAGCTACCTTGGCTTGCAGATCACCCGGGACAGAGCACAGCGCACCATTACCCTGACTCAGTCACACATGGTGCAGCAGGTCCTTCAGCGCTTCGGCTTCACGTACTCCTTGCCTCAGGCCACTCCTCTGCCTACACGCCACTCGCTCTCAGCTCTGCCTTCGGATGAGTCCGTAGAGTCGAGTGGCCCGTACCCAGAGCTTGTCGGCTGCCTCATGTACCTGATGACCTGCACTCGACCTGACCTTGCATACCCTCTTAGCATTCTGGCACGCTTTGTTGCTCCTGGGAGACACAGACCAGAGCACATGGCTGCAGCGAAGAGGGTGTTGCGCTACTTGTGCAGTACGTCGGGCATGGGGCTTGTGCTTGGAGGGCATAGTTCAGTGGTCCTCACTGGTCACGCAGACGCTTCTTGGGCTGACGACCAGGCTACGCAGCGGTCGTCACAGGGTTACACCTTCAGCCTTGGTTCCGGCTCTGTTTCTTGGCGGTCTACCCGCTCGTCTTCTGTTCTCGGCTCCAGTTGTGAGGCTGAGATCTACGCAGGGGCCATGGCTGCACAGGAGCTACGCTGGCTCACCTACCTGCTGACTGACCTGGGAGAGCCGCCTCATTCTCCTCCAGTGCTGTACGTAGACAACAAGGCCATGCTGGCCTTGTGTCATGAGCACAGACTGGAGCACAGAACGAAGCACATCGCTCTCCGCTACTTTCTTGCTCGTGAGCTGCAGCAGCGTGGTCAGCTGCGCCTTGCTTACGTGGCCTCTCAGGCCAACACTGCTGATATCTTCACTAAGGCACTCGCGCCTTGTGATCATCAGCGCTTCTGCACTCTGTTAGGTCTTGTGCCTACCTTGCCTCACTTGCTTACTTCTTGACCTTGCTTGTACTGTTACATATATATACCTGCCCTTGCTTGTTTAGCGTTATATATATGTACCCTTGCATGTGAACTGGCCTTCTGGCCTTGAACTTGTGCTCAGACTGTGTGGTGACGTTGTGATCCACCCTGAGCTTGCCTTGCCTTGCTTTGCTTGACTGGTCTTGTGACCCCTTGTTCTCCCCCACTTTGCCTATGGGGGTGTGTCAAACTTATACACTATAGTCTGTGTAGGCTGTAGTGGGGTAGCTCATACGGGGTACAACATTCTAGGGTTTCATACTTGTACTCCTCATGCTGCTCAATGCAATCATTCTCGTTCCAATTCTCACACAACTACGTGGTGCAACAGTATTTTCGAAGCTGGACCTACGATCAGGCTACTGGCAAATCAAGACGGCGGACAACTCGATCTAAAAGACGGCGTTCCGTACCAGATACAGCTCTTATGAATACTTAGTGATGCCGTTCGGACTCTGCAAAGCACTGGCAACATTCCTGTCGGAGATGAATCACATCCTACGCCCCCTGTTGGACGAATGCGTGGTGGTGTACTTAAACGACATTCTCATCTACTTTAAAAACATTAAGCGAAGGGGCTTGACGAACAACGTTACCAAATATTGTCCGTACTGACAGTCTCCGGACAGTCGGTTCGCAAAACAGTTACACGTCCTTGCACACATAAGGTATATAAACTTATTGTAACACGTGGTTCATGTGCATATTAAACAGAAAGGGTAGCTCATTGTTCATGACCGCATACAATATGTTTTTGTCTTTTCTCCTAAACAGACTACTCAGCCTTGTTTTCGGTTTCAAATATGCCCAGCGAGTCCTGGATAGCAGCCATACAGGGTTACCTTTGCTGCACATATTCATGTTAAGCGTTAGAATTACATATTGCATCAGTTGAAGAGTATCTAGTCATATCATCACTGAAATGGAAGAGTGGCTTAAAACGAAAAGTGAGCCCTGGTACAGTGGCACGTGTCGCCCCACCCCAGCAATCTTCCGTTGAAGATGGTCGGAGATTCAATCCCAACCATCAGTCATACGTTTAGACTCCAGCGCGTCGGCTTGTTTTTGGCAGACGCTTCGTCAGGAATACTGCAGCACACGATTCACCGACATTTGAATTTTGGAAACCTAGCTAGTTGTCAGAGTGGCATTTGTTGGACAAGGTTGCTTTTGCCTCTGCTACGCATTCTAGCCTGCAGGCAACTCGTAGGCACCTAGCTGTAGCCAGATGTGGAGCTCCTAACCGCTTCTGCCTTAGTCGAACAACAGCACTGTGCTGATGCGGTATTAGTCGTTAAGGACTCTCCGACACACATAACTTCATTATCCAAGATGTTATTTCTTTGATTTTTTTTAGTGACTTTCGCATTGTAGCACTACGTACGCTCCTTCAGCGACCGCGTAAAGAGCATGACCGAACGCAACGTGCAAGGTGCGAGGTCTCGCGGCGTCGAGATTTTGAAAATTTCACCTCGTACAACTGCACGAGTAGCTAGAAACTAGCACCGATTCACAGCCCAGTGCAGTATCTGAACGCCCGGGAGCTCGTAATCCGATCACAAGTCGAGTACAGCGCCGCACGATCACCACCTCGCTCTGGTGGTAACGCGAGGTGGCTGCAGGCGACTAGTAGTACTAGCGCGACTCGTGATGAGGGGGCTTATAATGAGGTTCTTTGGGGATGCCAAGAGCGGATGGGCTGTGACGAGCTGGTTAGAGCGCCTGCCGCGTCTGCTGGTTATGATGACGGTAGTGGCAGTAGCAGCCTGCGGAGGGAGGTATCATTTAGTGTCGGCTCAACTGGTGCACGAGTCGCAGTGTAAGATTCTTTCGCGACTTGCCTCTACTCGCCTTCTCTCCGGCCTTGTAACGCCTCCGCCGTTGTAACGCCTCGCAGCGGATGCACTCACATCGCGGAAAAGGTTTTGGGCCCGAGTATCCGAAAACGGGGTACTCTTCCGAAATGTTGCGGGAATGTATACAGAAGTGTCCAAAAAACACCCAGGCCAATCCGCACCCCTAATCCCACACAAGGGACTCGCCACTGCCGCGTCGCGACTCTTTGGCGGGACAACGAATGTCCCGCCAATATCCTCCAACACCGCAGCGCACATTTCAGTCATGCAGCGGACTCGCGGCCCTGACAACATGGGGTTCACTATACGCGACATTGCATGCCCAACTGCATACCATAATCGGGCAAACAGCAGAACATCGGCCCAACACACCTACGAAGTGAATACACCACTTAAACGCATACTAAACAAATAGGGTATCCACCAAAACATCAACTATAACGCATGTAATCTGGAACACAAAATCACAATCCGTCAAACAACACATACGAGTACCACGCACGTCTTACATCTCAGCAGCACTGAAAGCCGCCTACTCGTACAAAACGTGAAACCACCTTACTCCACCTCCAACTACACACCGCCAACAGCAATACCAGCCTAGAGGCTTCCGCCTGGCAAACAATCGTCGCACACCACACTAGCTTCCTGCGCCTCGACCAACCCACCAGGCTGGCCGCCCACCGCAGGTCCGTTACGAGCACGCTTAGTAGGCGTCCTTCGAAGGCGGCTTATCACCTCCTCGTTATGCGCGCCCAACGCCTCGGGCACCTGGGACACTGGTATGCCCAAATTGCCCGCCTGCTGGCTGTACTCGCCCGCCACCATCCGCACGACCCTGCGCCGGCTGCGAACGTCCCGATACAGTGGCCCTTCAGGGATACAAAAATACGCCGGTATCTCGTCATCATCCTCCTCGTCCTCCTCATCCTCCGCCTTAATCACGCCCCACTTGATGAGCAGGTCCTCGTCGCAGCCCACAAAATCCCACGACGTCATATACATAGCAGGGGCCCTCTTAAAATTCTCAATAGCCATCTGCAGCATTGTAAGCTCGCTAACAATGGGCTCAAACATCAAAGCAGCGCCAGCGCCATCCAGGCGCTTCATCAGCGACACCCACGCCGTCGGCACACAGCCCGCGCGCCACCAGCTCCTCTGAATAGCCGTCTCCGACGTCAACTTGCACGCCAGCCTCCTCAGCACGTCTGGGAGTGACGGTCGAGGTACCTCTCCCTTCTTCTTCCACTCGTTGCTGTCCATAGCGTCCTTCATGAACCAGTATCGGTGTATTGCCTTCACCGTATCAACCACCCCGGTCGTCGACGGCATGCTGCACCGGGGCGGCCCGCCGTAAAGCTGCACCACCTTGACACTCAGGAGATTCTGCGCCGCAAACCCGGCAACGGTTTCCGACTCGAACACACAACCAGTCAGCTCGTGCTTCGGGTCGTACACCAGAACAATTGCGCGCTCGTTCTTTGCGAAGAGATCCCCGTCAAACTTCACCATGTGCTCCGTGAATAGCTGTTGACACACGACGACATCCCCACAATTTACGCAATCAGCACCTTCCTCGTAACAGATTGCATTTGTGAAAACAGGAAAGCAAACCGCGCCGAGACTCACCTCAGACGACATGCGGCCGTGCTTTGCGTAGCGCACCACGACATTATGCTCACGACGCCGCCCATTGTGTACGGCCCTGCCATCATCCCGCCTCAACACCACAAGCGGATGACGCCACTTGGAGCCAGAAGCGTTGACCAGCAAACCCACCATCATATGCCACTCGCGCGCTATACCGAGCTCCGCGTCCATAACCGCCGACACCGGGAGCCTCGTAGGTATGAACGGGAACTCGGAGAACAAGTACACATCGTCAGGATGGGCTTTGAGAGCCTCCAGGAGAGTCACTATCGCGGCCATGCTGTCGTATGACGTCTGTCTAGCACGAAAAACGCAGACTTGATATCCGCTGTGGTCCACGACGAAAAACAAGAGACGAGTACTTAGACGGTAGAGCCGAGGTTGAACCGATGAAGGTACGTACCGTCGCCCCCTCGCCTTATCCCGAACTACCGGAGGTACGGGGGAACATTGGCTGCGTAAAACACACCACATGTCACGTGAACCGCTAGCCTCACACGGTGCCCACCACGGATTTCATTGAACGGCAACCACATACTGTACACATCACCGACACTAGGTGGCATCAACTCAGTGGACCCCCGCACGCACCAATGGGGTTCACCTATCCGCTCCGGTATGCACAACCGCGATACCCACCCATGCACACCGTTGTACAGCGACCGCACGGCGAAGTTCAAAAAAAGGGAGTACACCCTTAAAAAAACGCGACTACAGAAAGGTACTCTCCCGACTACTGCCCCTTCAATACAACACTGCATGCCTGCGTACGCGATCGAAACACCGCAGTGCACGAGGCACACAACATTCAGAAAGAGCATACCATAAATCTTGCCAAAGGCTAACAGAGCCCCATTGCAACCTACACAATTGCGAACAGTCATAAACCACAAATATAGTGTCACAATGAAGCTTCTCAGCATGGGTTACGAGTTTATGGTGGCATATCACCCTCCCGGCGCTGATAATCAAACCAGCACCACGCCACACAGCATATTGGTCACGGTTGTGTAATTACGTAACACACATGTTTGACATCCAACAGTCACTGAATGGCCCGACCACATCACTCGATCAGCAGAAACTTGTTCACCAGGAGCACCTTGGGGTTGCTGAAGCTCCGACAAATGTGCACCACCCTCAGGATCGTGGCCACCTCCACCACAGCGAACCTCGTCTCCATCCGGTGGGGTGTTAGCTGGATGCATGTGGTCAGGGGACAGAGCCCAGCCTGCTCATAGTACCGCACGTACATGTAGCCCTTCGGCTCCCCCTCATCCCCAGCCGCCTTGAAGATGCACAACACCTTGGCAAACCACTCTCCCCCTTTAGGCGCCAACAGTGCCACATCAGAAAACCACTTCTCCCCCAGGCTCGGTTTCACGAACGTGCCCTTGGCCACCAACGCCCCCCCACGCGTGCGCGGAATCGCCACGGCGGTGTGTGCCTGTGGAACACGGATTCGGGATGCGGGTGATTAGTTACCAGCCGTCTCAATGTCGCAATCTCACCAGCAGACTCTGCAATAACTACCATACCTGGACGCGCTCCGTCTTCACCCCGGCCGATCGCATGCATCCCACTAGATCCTTCATGTCGTCACCGTGCGACGCGTGGTACATCGCCAAAACTGCATCATCCTCCGCCCCAGGCACCATGAGCCGCCCCTTCCTCGTGAGGACCGGCTTCTTGGTCCGCACAGCCTGCACATCGGTGAATGCAACGTTCATTACCACCAGGCGGGATGCGGCCCGATTGTGTGTGGCCTCCAAGGGACCCTACCTCACATACCGCTTTGCAACCCTACATCTCTGAGAGCAGTGGTGTACTGCCACCCGCCGCCTGCATCAGCCGCCACCTCCCGGCAGATCTCCCGTTGCACCTCCTCCTCGACTATCCTCCGGGGGATGTCTTTCCAGTTGCCGCCCCGAACCGGCACCTTGACCGTGCCCTTGTGTGTATGCTCCCACAGCTCCGTGTTGTAGTGGTGGGGCATGCCCCTGAGAATCACATTCTCCAGCAGGTGCTTGATCATGTGCACCTTAGGGAACCGCCATCCCGACTTCTGATCTGGGTATGCTCGTGGGAGAAGGTCGACCAGCCTGCCCAACCCATCGCAACAAGAGATATAGAGGTATACATTTGATGACCGTATGTCCTTCTAGTAGTGCAGGATTACAGAAACCAGCATAGGACGCAGGCGGTTCTCACCTGTATGCGAGCTCCCTTGCGTGTGCGAGCGACGCCCTCGTGTGACCATCCACGCCAAGAAAGGCCTTGTAGAACGTTGCGTATAACCGGAAAGCACGCACTCTCATAGCCCTCAGCTCTGCGTCCGGCCCCTTCCCAAGCGCCCCCTTGTCCGCCACCAGGATCGGCATGACTTGCATCATGGCGCGGTGCTCAAACGCGGCGTAGTTGGCACCACTGGCCAGATACGAGGATCCTCCCGGCAGCCGGAGCACTGTGCTCGGCGTCTCTGTCTTTGTGGTCTTCTTTCTCCTGCACGGAGGGTTAGGGTAGCACAGCAGACAGGAGGGATGAGGACATGTCACACAGCCAATCTATCATCACCAAATCATATCACACCTTTCGCATGCACGCACCCCTCTACCGTGCGCCGCTCGGGCTTGCTGAGAGTGTCGATGTGGCACTCGATCATGTGCAGAGCAACACCGGAGTCCAGCACATGTATAGTGTCAGCCACGCTGGCCCCATATGGGTTTCCCCACTCGGTGTCCGAGAAGTTCCACCTGCTGAGCACACACTGCACGTGAAGACACTCGTGTAACAATGTTAGTAACGGCCGTCAAATCGTGCCTCCCACACGCCCATGCGTTGCTATGCGGTATATCGTGCAAATCACCTCAATCGGGTGTGTTGACCATTCCGACTGCACTTTCTCAGCCGCCTTCACGGTCTTGCAAGCTAGAATCTGCTGCACCGCATGCTCCTGGGAAGCAGGGGTCCTGATGGTAGATTTGAGCTTGAGGTTTGCCAGATCATCCTCCTCCACGTAGCATGTGGTGCAGGGTCTCTTGGTCCCAGTCTGCATGGTGGCAGTAGCACGACATGCTTCAATGAAGTCCGCCGGGTAAGCGTAGTAGCATGGGACCGCCTTCACAAGTTGTCCGTTTGCGTCCGGCACGTAGAAGAAACGCATGGGACAGCTGGTTCGACAGGCAGTTGCACGCAGAGTTGTAAGATCATCAGCAAGCACGGGCATCGAATCTGGGACTGCACGGTGCACTGACACACAACGAGCATCACTGACCAGCAGTAAACAAACTGACCCGTCGCCCACGTCTGTGCACGGTCTACCCACGAACACATTATGGACTCACTTTGCCGACTCCCGCATGAGCGGTGCCAATATGATGCGTATCGCCTCTTGGAAGACCCGGGCCTTTTCTGTAGAGGTAGCCCACACGGGAGGAAAAGGCAGCACGGCCGCCAACACGTGACCAGGCTCCGTCCATCGCAGGTGCTCAGGAATGTTGAACAGTGTTATGAGCACTGGCCAAGCCTGCCGCCTGCCGTTCCTTGTTGCGTTCGTGCCATCGCTATACACAATGACGCCCAACACCCATGCTTTCTCGTCTTGTATCGCTTTCTGCGCTCAAACAAGGACGGCCAGATATTGGTCTCAGCATCACTCAGCGATAATGGGACGCCAAGCCCCACAATGTCAGCCGACCACACAGCTTACCTCTGCTTCCTGCATCCACTTCCCAGTCTCGGGGTCGCTGAACCTCCGTTTGCCTGTGGTAGGGTCCAGCTCCGTCCTCGCCTTGGTAACGAAGCCTGGTACAGCGACGAAAGTTCGCACCAACTTCTTCACCAACTGCATGGCATTGCGTTCGACGTTACGAGTTGCGGCGTCATGTTGTGCATCGAATGTAGACGTAATATATTTGGAAACTCGGGCATAACCTTACCTGCTCCGTGTCGCGATAATGCAAGAGCAACTTCTGGACCTCTCCTTTGGTCCCGCGGACAATGATCTCCTCCACAAGCCACGGAACCAGGTCCGTGGGCGCTCTCGCGTTAGCCCATCGTCGCACATCCAGAGCATTTCGCCAGCGGCGGAGAGCGCGGAGATTGAAGCGAGGGTTGCGAAAGATGTGCAGCAAGCGGTTTACTTCGCGCCGCGAAAGGTCGGCATCGCGGATGAACAGGTATATAGCAGTGAGCGTGTCAAAGACAATGCCGTCCTCGCTTTGATCACTACAGGTGGACTGCTGCTCGTCGTCTACCGTCCCTTCATCACCTGCTGTCGCTTCCGCCACCTCGTCAGCGGCCGCCACTGCATCGTTAGCTAGCGAGTTCGGGCTAGACGTCTCGTTGGGGCGACCTGCGGTACGGGCGGAAACAGCCGCGTAGGCCTCCAGATAGGCCTGAGCTAATCGGGCGTCACGCTTGCCGAGGATGTTGCGTCTGCACTCTGCGCTCTTTGCAAGGTGCGACTGAAGCGCACAGTCATCGCGAAGGACACGCGGACACCCCCTGCAGCGGCAGGCCGCCATATCCGTAACACGGAGCCCTAAAAAGTCAATGCACTAACGCATGAAGCAGTGGACACTGGGGTTGGTATCCACCCCAGTCACAGTCACTGGCTCAACCTCACCCTGGTGTCGTGAACATGATGTTGCTATCAAGGAGAATACGTATGACTTTGTACCGCGTGCCAGTACACTCGTGCACCTGTTTAAAGCAAACGGATTTCGCCAGAGATGACGTTTACATGTTGGAGCCCAAAACAGCACAGCTCGGCCACGACGTTTTTCTTGCCAGCAAAACGCGGGCCGACGTTGACACATGTCACGTCCTGGCGATTTCCCGCGCAGCTGCATGCAGATCTTGTAGCTTCGCCCATCCTGCTCGGGCTCGATATTCCCAGGCGATATGACGTTCCATTCCGCATAGAAAGCCAAGTCTGGGCACCTGTCTTGCTCTGTGTTAGTTCTTGTCACACTCCATCCCATGGTGTCCAAGCTTATGTAACGCCCTCCAATGACGCAGCCTGGTCGCGAAGGTATGGCGCGAGACAAGGTAGGTGTTAAAAAACCACGTAGCGGCACGGACAATGGAGACGTCACGGAGGTGGCGGCCTCTGCGCGCGCACCGCACGCAAACGCCGTCACAAGGGCCACTCGAAGTAGTACCCGCACGCAGCAAGGATCTGCGAATCAAGAATCCGCAAGCGCCGCTAAGAAGCTCGACCTGCCCAAGTACAAGACGAAAGTTAAAGTGAATACGGTGGACCCCGAACCAGATGATGTCGTTGCCCGCGTCGCCAGAAAGCGAAAGGATGTCTCTTTCACATCCATGTCTTTGAACAACCGCGCCGGACAGTCGTGCGTCGTCACCGCCAGAGATCTTGTGACCATCGCAGATGGTCAGTGCCTCACCGATGCGATAATCGACTTTCACAACATGTGAGTCTTGAGATCACTGGTGAATAACGTCGCCGTCAAATACGTCAACTAACCTGGGCGTCCGGACCCCCCATGTGCAGATTGTTGAGCATCGAACATCCACGGACCCCTAATGGCAAGACATGGGCGGTTATGGACAGCATGGCGTATCAGTACGCCACGGGTTACAACAAGCCGTTCCAGCACGGCAAGGGGGAAAGTCTGCTCGCCGTCGACTTTCTGGCCATACCGGTTTTCAAGGGGTGAGCTGCGGGGTGTATAGGATGCTACGTCTAATTTGCTATGTCGTCTATGTCAATGACCCGACCTAGTGTCCGTGCTGTTCCACAACTCCATCGACAGAAACCACTACTCGCTCATCATCGTGTGCGAGCCGGCGAAGTTGTTCCGCAAGGACGGGGAGGGTGATGGGGACAAGCTGCAGATGGTCCTGTTCGACAGCGAGGGCACACATGCCGGGGATCCTACCGTCTTTGATGGCGCGAAGCTGTGAGTATGGTTGTCCTTGTGAACTGAATCATGAATGCTTGTGCTCTGCGGATGAACAATCTCTGTGTTGTACTGGTGCGCATGCTCAGGCTGCTGGATATCACGACCAAGCAGTTGCACCCAGAGTGCGACCACGAGCGACTTGTTTCCACGCTTTCGAGCGCGGACTGTGTGGTGATGCAGGTATGAGCCGTGTGGTCGGGCCATTAAAAGCTTGGGATGGAATTCCCATACGCGAAAGCCCATGCACTGACACACATGCCCACTCTTCCATGCAGGCGCACCAGCTCATCAGGCAGGACAATCTGGTTGACTGTGGCGTATTCTTGTGCCACTACTTGCGCGGACTCGTAGAGTCAGACTTCTCAACGGTGCTGAAGTATCTGTATTTGGACGGCGTGAGCGGTGGCCAGTACCGCCGGCGCATGCGTGCGGATCTGAGCGCGCATGCAGCTTGTGAGCTCGTACCAGCGCTGACCACACGGGGGAAGATCGTTCCACCGCAGTATGCACCTCGGACATCGGAAATCGGCGCTGTGAGGGCGTCGGACGAGGTGGACATGAGGAGCCGTCTCGCTCAGTACCAGGTCGAGGTGTACGGACTACGGAGGGAACTTGTCATCTGGGGCGCGGCAGTGACCGCGCTCGGGAACGCCATGGGGTACAGCAGAGATCAGATGCTCGCAGCTGCCGCGTACGTGGTGAAGACGGACGGAGGGGCTTATCGGAGCATTGAACCCGGGGGATCACCCTCTACGCCGCCTCACCTGCCTACTGAGCGGACCGGTGGCCCCCTCCCCGCCGAACCCTGTGGCGCGCAATCGTGTGCGAAGGGTGGGGGGGGAAGTGGTGGGTCCTCACAGTACACCGGGGTGCGGCGAGAGAAGAAGAGGGGGACATGGAGCGCGAAGATATTGGTGAGGGAGCCTGGTAAGGCCAGGCGGACGTAGATGCGGTTGGGGTCATACACACAGGAGCCAGAGGCAGCTTACGCTTACGCCGCAGCTGCTCATGTGTTAAGGCCTGGCGTCGTCATTCCACGCACGATCCAGTTGACACCAACGGAACAGAGCCTTCTGGCAGGATGCTCCAAAAAGGTCATCAAGCTCCTGGTCAAGAGCCGGATGTGGTTCCGCTGGAGAGAGTGGGAGCAGGCGGTGCTGGACTGCCATGGTAACATGGATATTCCTGAGACCGAGACCCCAACCGGGTCTGCAGAGGGAGGGGGTGGGGACGAGGTGGAGGAGGAGGGGGGGCAGGACGCTGATGTCGGCACGGACGATGGGCAGGCGGATACAGAACCTGTCAAACATACTGCTGCTGTTGGAGTTTATGGTCTTGAGAGTGATGCACAGAATGGAGTTCCAGGGGAGGAAGGAGTACCAGGGGAGGACGATCTGGTAGGGACCCAATTTGGAGAGTTTGACCCGGCTAGCCTGGGCTTGTGATGGATGAGGTTGGGAGTGTGTGGTTAGCTGCATGCACCTGAATGTACCATGCGTTGGTTTCGATTGTACCATATTGTTTCCTTGATGGGATTTCCCGACACCATGCTCGGTCACCTTTATTTGTTATTGTTGTGTTGATGTTTTAGTTTGCGGTACTATGATAACGATGCGGATTGCTGTTAGCGGATACAATATTGACACCGCACTGGTGTACGTGATCGGCTCAGTGTATTCTACATGACCACTCGTTGGTACCACCCCGGATTCGGCTAGGTTGAGTTGGCACAATCTTACTGGTGCGTAATCTGGTTATGCTGACTGGGGCAAACAAGCAGAATTCGGGCTACACTAAGCGAACACCAACCGCTGGTGTATACCTTTGGGTTTGAGAGCATGTTGGACCATTCGGCGGGAGGAGTTCACGGGAGTTCAAACATGGAGACCTCGGACGCATCGATCGAGCCCCAGCCTGCTTCCAGGTCACAGAGGGTGTCCAAGCCTCCGTCGTACCTCCGCAACGCATACCAGCTGACTCAGAAGCGACAGCGCGGGAGGAAAGCGGAGCGATCGGTTGCAGTGCCAGCCAAGCGCGCCAGGGTGACGAAGGCGAAGGGGGTTCCTCTGAATGGTAATAGTTGTTCAAGCGACGACTGCGAGCATGGCCGTTGATTACCATTCATCTGGCACCATCTTAAAGTGTTGTGTTCGTTGTGTTTGTTCGCAGCTACAGCATCCGCTGCGCCAGAGACTTCAGTGGCGGAGGCACCTCAGGCAGAGGTGGAGATAAGCGTCGGTGCGGGCGATGAGGACATCGAGAGTGAGAGCGAGGCACGCCCGGCGCCCTCCCGGTCGAAGAACTTGGCCTCTGTGATGGCAGAGTCACAGGCGACTGCCACCACCAGGCCCCGTCCTCCGCCCGTGCGTGTGCCGGACAACCCTTTTGTGGCCATGCCTGTAGCTGGGTCGTCTCGTGACCCGACAGCGCCCGGGGAGGAGACACACATTCTGATTAGTCGCGCGGAGTTCGAGGCCTTGAAGAAGGCGCAAGAAGCGAGCGCGCGCACCGTGGCCCGTCTTGAAGAGGAGCTGAGGTCTGCTAAGGCTGTGCAGGCGCGTGCACCCCCTCGCAGGCCGGACGAGCATGTCTCGGGGAGCGGTGGTGCTTCTGGTCGGAAGCGGAAGCGTCGGGAAGAACTCGCCGATGAGGAGACATCCGACGAGGAGAGCGAGGATGAGCCACCCACCAAGAGGGGGCATCTGAGGGTGTCCAAGTCACCGGTCCTGCAGCGGGCGCTGAATTTTCTGCCCGCAAACAAGTCGTGGAAGGTGCGTTGTGACGAACATAGGTGCCTCCACCATGTGTTAACTGCCTTTGCACCCCTTACTACGTGCTTCTCGGAGTTTTGACGGCGGATGTGTGTGCTGGGTGGTTTTGATATGGTTGCAGCGCGCGTGCGACCTGGTGAAAGATTACCTCTTCTTTGAGAAGGAGAACGCCCGGATCACGTTCTATCCGAGCAGCGACGACAAGACGGTGGGAGTGTGTGCAGTGATCGAGCGCCTGCCTTTCGATTTCGCGACACTTGCTCTGGCTGCGGACAAGGCAAGACGGTCGGATTTGAACAAGGCCCTTAGCGAGTGGAAGTCGGGCGCAGCAGGAAGGACGCGGGACATCTCGTGTCCACGGATGGGGCTTTTCCGCGACGAGCGAGATACGCGCAGCCCATGGGCCACGAAGAAGGACCGTACTCTGGAGGAGATACGATCGCATTATGGGCTGCTGCTCGGCGTTGACGGTAAGGCGGTGGTCACGTGGTTGGAGAGGGGATGTATGCGGGATGCGTGGATCGCGGACTTACGTGGGCGTGCATTTGTGCGCAGATCCCCTGGCATTGTCCAAGTTTGGGAACGATCGGGAGGGGATGCCGTTCGCCTCTGGCGCATTCGTGGCATGCGCGGTTGCGGCATTCAAGCCGAAGAAGGTGGTCGGGCCACTGACGGTGAAGCTTTACCACCTGGCGTGGCTGGAGCATGTGGTACGTGCTTGGTGTTTGTTTGTGCTATGTGGTCACCCGTCCTCCCCCGGTGGCTAAGGGGCTGTTTGCGTGTCGCAGGTGACCGACACGCTGGTGAACTGGGAGGCGAGGAAGGGGCGACTGTCGAACTCTGCCTGTGGAAACGCGCAGGTGGTCGATGGGCTCGTGATCCTTGCGCGTGAGGCAGTGTCGAACGCGATCAGAATCTTCAAGCCTAAGTACGACGTCGCCTCGTGCTCGTGGACCTGGGGGCGCCATGGCCTTCGACTGTCCTCGTGCGGGCTGGAGGACTTAATTCCAGCGACTGCCGCTACCCGTGATGGGGCAGAGGTTCAGGCGGACGAGATCTCTGGGTCGCTTGGAGGCCCGTAAATGGTGGGGGTTGAAGGCATGTTTTCCCAGCTGGGGTTTGTCGTGCATTTGTTGCTGTAGGCGGGATATTTGTGTTTGTTGTGGGTCCTAGCTATGTGTGTGTTTCTTTTGTGTCGCTTTGCTGTAGGTTTATTACGGATGGGTTGTGCGTTTTTGAAATATGGTGCAAACTCACGCGAACACTTAGGGAATGTAAACACACCACGTTGTATGGTTACGCCGTATTTGGTATCTTAATAACAGCATTGCGGTGTCTAATAGGTACGGATACGTGGTTCCGGTTTCACGAGCTGCGCACATTACTGAGGGCGCGCTTCGGGCCGCGTCGAACGTAGACCATTCCTAGCACGCACATTGAATAGGTGCTATTGAGGGATGTGGTGGACGTTTTCCGCACATCTGACGTCGGATATGTTTGCAGTGGTTGGCCGCATCTCACGCGTCAATGGCGTGGCCAGTCGCACCAATAGGGGGAAGTAGTAAAGCTTGGGACCACGTGTCTAAATCCACCAGGTGTAAATGGTGGGCGGACAGTGGAGACACGTCCCGCGTATGCAGCGGGCGGAAGCTTGGTTCACTTTATCGTCAGGTGTTGGTGCACGCCCTGGTAACACCGGCTGAGGTGGCGAGCATGCGTTGGGACGTCAGATTTGGCGAAGGTTTGCCGTAGGACGGGCGAGGCGAGCCCGCGCTACGTTTTAGTGGCTGACGAAGTGTGTAGTTACATGGTGCGGGGCCACTCACGGTCCCACAGGTGTACGGTCGAGATGCGGGGTGTTCGCGGTGTGGATTTGCGCCGCGTGGAGTGGTGTGCGCAAAGCGGACGTAGACAGCTGTCGCGAGAGCGTTGGATGGGTGTGCGAGCAGTACGCACAGGTGTGGGATAACGAGAGGTCGTTGGGTGGGGAGGTGGCGGCGCGTTTGTGGGTGGGGAGGTGGGTCCTCTGCATGCAGATTGGTGGGCGAAATGCACGCGCAGTTTGGTAAGTGGGCGACGAGAGTGGGTGTATTCACTCGTTAGACCAACGGGGTGCTCACATGTGTACGGCGGGGATCGTTGCGTGAAGCCGCCTCGATGAAGGCCGCGTGGCAAGGGGGTACGTACGGTATGATGCACAAGCACTTTGGTGTACGGTGTCATGTGACACGTGTGACGGGCAACTTTATCGCAACTTTCTGGCAAGATCGCGGTTGCTGGGAGGTTCCTGAAATGTGTCCGAAATGTGGCGAAGGGGTCACTTTTACGCAACGTGCACCCTTGCGGGAATTCCGATGGTTTTGACCTTCACTGGAAAACATCGGGGCCGGGTATCCAGAAAGTAACTTTTCTGCAGTTTTTTCGACTCATTTCCGCAATACCTTTTCCGCGATGCAGCCCTGCGCCGCGGTGTGCTCCTCTCGTAACGCCTTCCCTTTTCCGACAGTATCGGACCACCCTTTCCCCTGCCATTCTTTCTTGTAGACCGGAGTGCTCGGAGTCACGCTCACTGTGCGGTATACCCAAGGAGAGCTTTCGAGAACCTTGGGGTGGGGTTTTGCACGGGCCTGTTCCCTTTTTTTTTTTTTTCGATGGCTTGTACGACTCCGTACGGGCCTGTTCTGCGTACCAAGTTACGTCCCTTGTGGAAGGCTCTCAATTCTTTCCCTTCCGGACCATCCCCCTCTCCCCCAACCCGTACGTCCCCTGTCTGCGCCGCCGCCCTCCAATGCCCCCGCCTGGTGCAGTACCCGCGCTCCATTCGATCGCCGCCACGTGGCCCACAGCTACCACTGCCACGTGGCAGGACGGCTGGGAATGCTCGAAGTGGAGTGGCGTGTCGTGCAATAAGGAGGGGTTCGTCAGCACCATGTGAGCTTGCGACGAGCGATCGCAAGGGTGGGAATTAGAGCGCAAGGGTGGGAATTAGAGCGCAAGGGTGGGAATTAGAGCGCAAGGGTGGGAATTAGAGCGCAAGGGTGGGAATTAGAGCGCAAGGGTGGGAATTAGAGCGCAAGGGTGCGAATTAGAGCGCAAGGGTGGGAATTAGAGCGCAAGGGTGGGAATTAGAGCGCAAGGGTGCGAATTAGAGCGCAAGGGTGGGAATTAGAGCGCAAGGGTGGGAATTAGAGCGCAAGGGTGCGAATTAGAGCGCACGGGTGGGAATTAGAGCGCAAGGGTGGGAATTAGAGCGCAAGGGTGCGAATTAGAGCGCAAGGGTGGGAATTAGAGCGCAAGGGTGGGAATTAGAGCGCAAGGGTGCGAATTAGAACGCAAGGGTGCGAATTAGAGCGCAAGGGTGGGAATTAGAGCGCAAGGGTGCGAATTAGAGCGCAAGGGTGCGAATTAGAGCGCAAGGGTGGGAATTAGAGCGCAAGGGTGGGAATTAGAGCGCAAGGCGGGGATTAGAGCGCAAGGCGGGGATTAGAGCGCAAGGCGGGGATTAGAGCGCAAGGCAGGGATTAGAGCGCGAGGCGGGGATTAGAGCGGAAGGTGGGGATTAGAGCGGAAGGCGGGGATTAGAGCGCAAGGCGGGGATTAGAGCGCAAGGTGGGGATTAGCACGAGGTGGGGATTAGAGCGGAAGGCGGGGATTAGAGCGGACGGCGGGGACTAGAGCGGAAGGCGGGCATTATGATAATGCAAGCTGAGAAAATGTAACGCACGAGGGGTTGAGTTCGTGCGCGCCGTGTGAGCTTGCAACGAGCGATTGCGAGGCAGGAAAATATACCGCAAGTGAGGAGGGGGGGATGGGGGAAGAGAGGGGATCATAACGCAAGAGGGATTTGAATCTGGATCAGACTTGTCCCTTGTTTAACTCGCTCTTTCTCTTCGCAGCTTTTGCTTCGCTTCTGCGTTACCTCAGCCGTCACCTGACTCCCTTCTCCACGTCCGCGGCTCCGTCGTCCCTTTTTCCGCCATCCCCCCGCTCCCTAATCCGCCGTGTCCCCGCTCCCTAAACCGCCGTGTCCCCGCTCCCTAATCCGCCATCTCCCCGCGCAGCGACCTCAGCAACCGGGATCCAGAAGGGACTCTGCAGCTGGCGTTGACTTTTGGGTCGACTAAAAACTCACCCTAGATCCGCCAACGCCCCTCCATCTCCTCTGTCCCCCGGCAGCGACCTCAGCATCTGGGATCTGGAAGGGCCTCTGCCGTCCACTTTGCCTTGAAATCAGGTCAACTGGAAACTCACCTCTGATCCGCCAGCGCCCCGCCATTCCCCCCCCTTCGCCCTGCAGCGACCTCAACAATCGGGATCTGGAAGGGTCTCTGTCGTTTGCGTTGACTTCTGAGTCGGCTCAAAAGTCACCTCTGATCCGCCGTCTCCCTGCCCCCCAATCCGCCATCGCCCCTTCCCCCCCTCTCCCCGCAGTGACCTCAGCAACCGGAACCTGGAAGGCTCCCTGCCGTCCGCGCCCTTCACGATCACGTCGCTTCAACAACTGTAGGTCGCCTCGAAAAGGGCGGGTAATGGGGATGGGACGACATTTGAGACGCCTGAAAAGTACATTCTCTGCCGTGTGTGCGTGCTCTTCACTCGCACATCGTTTCAACAGCTGTTGGTCTGTCTGTGGATTTGTGGGTCCCACGCAGATCCGCAATGAATGCTGACGCGCACGGCATGTGTCCCCAGAGGGGAACGGTTTTAGTCGACTACAAACGCACCTCTCACGTCGCTTCAACAACTGTGCGTCTCGCGTAGATCCACAGCGAATGATGCTGGCGCGCACACCACATGGGCCCACGAGGAAGTGTTTTGAGCCGACTCAAACCGCACCTCTCACGTCGCTTCAACAGCTGTGCGTCTGGCGCAGATCCACAGCGAATGCTCACGCCCGCGCACGCCATGTGGGCCGGGCCCACCCGGGCCCAAAAGTGTCCGCACGAGAGCAATGCTCGCAGTGGCTGCGGCGACTGAGACTCAGTCATGCAAGAATTCCCTTCAATCCCCACATGGAGAACGAAACTTACGTTTGGGAGCAAGCCTCACTTCCACACAAAATCGCTTCCGGATTGCAACTTGCTCGCTCCCACACTTTGTTTTGTTCTCCTTTCTTTCTGTCCACTGCCCGTGAGTGAACACGCTGCACCACCCCACGCACAGAGAGACCGTGCTCACAGAGAGACCGTGCTCACAGAGAGACCATGCTCACAGAGAGACCGTGCTCACAGAGAGACCGTGCTCACAGAGAGACCGTGCTCACAGAGACACCGTGCTCACAGAGACACCGTGCTCACAGAGAGACCGTGCTCACAGAGACACCGTGCTCACAGAGACATCGTGCGCACAGAGACACCGTGCGCACAGAGACACCGTGCTCACAGAGACACCGTGCTCACAGAGACACCGTGCTCACAGAGACACCGTGCGCAAAGAGAGACCGTGCTCACAGAGCCACCGTGCTCACAGAGAGACCGTGCTCACAGAGACACCGTGCGCACAGAGACACCGTGCGCACAGAGACACCGTGCTCACAGAGAGACCGTGCTCACAGAGACACCGTGCTCACAGAGAGACCGTGCTCACAGAGAGACCGTGCTCACAGAGACACCGTGCTCACAGAGACACCGTGCGCACAGAGACACCGTGCGCACAGACACCGTGCTCACAGAGACACCGTGCTCACAGAGACACCGTGCTCACAGAGACACCGTGCGCACAGAGACACCGTGCGCACAGAGACACCGTGCTCACAGAGAGACCGTGCTCACAGAGACACCGTGCTCACAGAGAGACCGTGCTCACAGAGAGACCGTGCTCACAGAGACACCGTGCTCACAGAGACACCGTGCGCACAGAGACACCGTGCGCACAGAGACACCGTGCTCACAGAGACACCGTGCGCACAGAGACACCGTGCTCACAGAGAGACCGTGCTCACAGAGACACCGTGCTCACAGAGAGACCGTGCTCACAGAGACACCGTGCTCACAGAGACACCGTGCTCACAGAGACACCGTGCGCACAGAGACACCGTGCGCACAGAGACACCGTGCTCACAGAGACACCGTGCTCACAGAGA